TTTAAAAAAATAACTAAAGTAGACACTGCTGACAGGAAGGTCAACATGAAGAAAAAATTAAAAACAGACCGTTCTATGTAACACAGGGAGATAAATGAGTGCTTTCAGAGTACGCTTCCTCTGACATAGACTGGACTCTTCTTTCTGCTCTCATTGTGAAAACCCTTTATAAATCCTCCGAGCTCTCAAGAAACTTTGTTTTGTCACCCCAAACCGTCATCTTGTCTGAAGTACTTCAGGCTTTCTCACACAATTTAGCGTCTAGTTGTACGCCACTCTCTCGTCAGTTGGTTCCATATGTACCATCTTCACCTGGGCCCCCAGACTGAGTACCTGCAGGCAGTGGCCATGCCTCACCTTGTCCCAAAACCCCCCACCCCCCCAAGCCACAACCATGCTGACCACCACGAGTGGGGAGAATGGTGAAGACATCTGCATTTTCTTCAGTGATGCCTCACCTACTTGTTAGCCATGCGACCTTGGGCGAGTTACTTCATCTTTCTAAACCAGTTTCCTGGGCTGTAAAATGGGGACAGTAACACCCTCAGCCTCCTGGTTGTGAGCAGATGAAATGAAATAAATCACAAGTGCTCGGGAGAGCACCTGCGCCCCGGGAAGCCCTCAGTAAATGGCAGCCCACTGTTGCCACTGCCCCGCATTTGCTGACTGATGGGGATGATTTTGAATCTTCTACCGTGTCCAGAGACAAAATGTTGTTTTGAGTCTGAAATTAGGAAGTCACATATTTTATATATGCAGATGGTCTTTCCTCGTCTTAGGAAGCGACTGAATTTCATAGATTCTGTTTTCTTCATTCACACTGTAAAAACTCAGAACTCAGGATGTGTCTTATAATCCAATTTTCTGAGTAGCTGAAAGATGTTTTGTTACCCTAGATTCCATCAAATCTAGCATGAATTTTGTGGATTTTTTTGAAGAAAGATTTTTTTTTTTTTTGAGAGAGAGAGAGAGGGGGAGAGAGAATCTTAAACAGCCTACATGTTAAGTGTGGATGTGGGGCTGATCTCTTGACGTGAGATCATGACCTGAGCTGAAACCAAGAGTCAGGCGCTATCTGATTAAGCCACCCAAGTGCCCCTGAAGAAAGATTTTAAAAAGAGAATTAGAGTACTCGAAAGCCTGTTCTTCTTCCCTGTTGCTCTTCACACTTTTAACTCTGCCCCAAGCCGGAGCTTGGAGTGCCATCATTATTATCCTTTTAACACCTCAGATAAAGGAACACAGCTTACTTTACTGTGTCTCTGTATTTTAAGCCACTTGACACCTTCTCAATTTGATATTTGGTACTCTGGAGGCAGAAAGCCATGATTATCCAGGCAATCTCCCAATTAACATGTTTATTTGGTCACTACTGTCTTGAAAAGCCTTAATGATGTTGATACATGTCCTGATTTTTTCCAGAACACTTATGGGTCTGCTCGTTGCCCAAGCATAATTATTAATAGCAACTCCTTTCATTTTCAGGGGTAGTCTGGTTTGGATGATAAATTATATGGTTACTCTATGTGAAGACCAAGGTAGGTCTGAAATTCTTGGCTTTAATGTCTTGTATTTTAATTTTGTCTTTGTTATTTGTAAATCTGGCTTTTAGTTAATCATTTGTATGGTTGAGGTAGTGTTCATTCCCTCATATTTTTACTACATGCTGGTTATACAGTGAAAAGCAAAACGCACGAGCCCTAACTCATGAGGTTTACACTGTAGGAGAGCAGCAGATATTAAGTAGTTGCTCGTAAACATGTCACAGCTCCTCAGGAGAGGTACAAAGTGCTACAGTTGCCTATCAAATGTAACACGTGTGGGGTGCCTGGGTGGCTCAGTCGGCTAAGCGTCTGCCTTTAGCTCAGGTCCTGGGATCGAGCCCCGCGTCGGGCTCCCTGCTCCGCGGGGAGTCTGCTTCTCCCTCTCCCTCTGCCCACCCCGGCTTTTGCTCTCTCTGTCTCAAATAATAAATAAATTCTTTAAAAAATACATATATATGTGTATATATACACATACATACATAACACATGGGAAGTGCAGTGGGGCCTTACAGACAACAGAAATACACCTGCATTATTTTCTGACCCCAAGAAGATGTCCTCTCATTTTAACACCATGCTCAGAATGTCATTGAGTTTGCATTCATTTGCCATGGTGAGGAGACACTTTAGTACAAAGAGGCTCTTCTGAGAATGGGCATGAAGTAATAATTGTGAGTGTGTAAAGGCCAAGAGGCAAAAAGTTAATCCTTGGTTTCTTATTTAAGTGGCAGAATGATGAGAGCAACAGAGAGCAAGGGAGGAAGGAACGGACAGCGATGCCTGGTGTTAGCAAGCTCCTTAGGGTAAAAATTGTGTTGACTTTTCTGTTTGTTTTTTTTCCCCCTCCTGAATTCCTTTTGGAACACACTTCTAAGCATAGGGCAGAACAAATGAAGCCCAGAGAAAGAAGGCAGGGGCCCAGATTCAAACAGGGAGAGAAGAAAGTTGAAAGGTACTTGTAGCCATGCGGACTTCTCATAGTACCTGCCTCCTTTCTGAGATCCAGAGTGTCAGCAACCCAACCAGATTGTGGGTTGGCAATCTTGGGTCAGATGAGTGAGCATGAATACCCTGAGAAGGACACCATAGACTGCAAATAGGAAAGTTCCTCCTTAGAAAGAACGGGGGGGGGACCAGAAAGTCAGTATGGCAGAAAGACTGCTTGGGAACAGGGTTCCCAGTTACTGACAAAACACTGGGTGTGTTCATTTACTTCCAAGATCCTACATGATTAACTGGTCTGCTTTCTGTTCATCTGTTGCCTGAATAGCACACTTCCAAAACAAATAGGTCCTCCGAAAGACAGGAAATTAAACAATGAGCATATAAGTATACAGGGTCAAGGCCACATACACAAACACACACACACACACACACACACACAGATTGTTCCATAGTGCCTGCACAAAGAATCTATAAATTATGATGCTATATCTTCACCCACAGGCTCTGTACTAATCTAGATAAATTTTAGGTAAGCATCAACTTAATGGTTGGCAAATATTTTATTTGGCAAAATTTTTACTACACTGTAAAGATGTAAACATACTTAAAAACCTCGCAAATTCTTCAAAGATTAGAAATAAGACAGTGGCAGACTCACATGTGTTGATTTTTCACTTAATGATGTGTACTTAATGCATATATTTCATATGTGTAATGAAATGCAAGTTATTATAGTAGACAGAGCTATGACTGGGTTCAGAGAGACCTAGGTTTACTGACTTTACTGAATTGGTTCTAGTACTTTTTGGTGGAGTCTTCAGGGTTTTCTATATATTGTATTATGTCATCCAGGAATAGTGGAAGTTTTACTTCTTCCTTACCAATTTGGATGCCTTTTATTTCTTTTTGTTGTCTGCTTGGTGTGGCTAGGACTTCCAGTACTATGAAATAGCTGGAGCTAGAGAGTATAATGCTAAGTGAAATAAGTCTGTCAGACAAATAATGCAAGATATGTTAAGAAAAAAAAAAAAGAAGAAGAAGAAGGTAGCGGGAGGGGAGGAATGAAGCAGGGGAAATCGGAGGGGTGGACGAACCATGAGAGAAGATGGACTCTGAAAAACAAACTGAGGGTTCTAGAGGGGAGGGGGGTGGGAGGATGGGTTGGCCTGGTGGTGGGTATTGAGGAGGGCACGTTCTGCATGGAGCACTGGGTGTTGTGCACGAACAATGAATCATGGAACACTTCATCTAGAACTAATGATGTAATGTATGGGGATTAACATAAGAATAAAAAAAAATGCATAAAAAAAAAAAAGATTTTTTAGGACACTGAAAAAAAAAAAAAGTCTGTCAGAGAAAGACAAATACCATATGATTGCTCTCATACATGGAATTTAAGACACAAAACAATAAGCAAAGGGAAAAAAAGAGAGAGAGAGAGAGAGACAAACCAAGACACAGACTCTTAACTATACAGAATAAATGGATGGTTACAAGAGGGGAGGTTGGTGGCGGGGGGATGAAATAGGTGAAGGGGATTAAGGAGTGCACTTATATAATGAGCACTGAGTAATGTACAGAATTGTTGAATCACTATACCGTACACCTGAAACTAATATAAGACTTTTAACTATACTGAAATTAAAATTAGAAACTTAATAAAAAATTCTCATAAATACCCTGGATGATAAATAGTATCTCCAAATGATAGTTTTCTCATATTTAATATGGTCCAACTATACCTGCTCTGATCACTTATCACAGGTTATTATAGAAATTGAGATACAATATAGGAAATCATCATTAAAAATACCAATATCTTTACATCACACAAATTCTACTCCTGAAACCAATATTACATTATTTGTTAACTGACTAGAATTTAAATAAAAAACAAACAAAAAACCTTACCAATATCTTTTTTTAAAGATTTTATTTATTTATTTGAGAGGGGGAGAGAATGAGTGGGAGGGAGTGGGAGAGGGAGAGGAAATGTGAAGCAGACTCCCCGCTGAGTGCAGAGCCTGACACAGGGCTTGATCCCACAACCCCAAGATCACGACCTGAGCTGAAATCAAGAGTCAGACACCCAACCGACTGAGCCACCCAAGCACCCCACCTACCAATATCTACAAATTAAAGTATTATCCTTTTCTGTCTATTGTCTGTTAGGGTTTATAGCTACTTGTGTATTTCTTTGTTTCATTTAACACAGATTCCACAAATGAAGGAGATACATTCTTGTATGTCACCTTTTCTTTGTCTAGTGCCAATACTCATTGATTCTGGTATTATTGTTTACTAACTGTGACTTTGAGCAAATTAAGCTCAATGGGCTCATTTTTTTTTTTTAAATCTTCATAAGAGGGACAGTAAGACTACCTTAAGGGACTGTTGCAAAAGTTCAGTGAGGATTATCTGTCATGTTCAACAAGAACTTGTTGAATGCACCAGGTTGTGAATTCTCTCCTGTACATTCAGTGCAAGGCTGTCCCCTTGGACCTAACTGACCTGTGGATGATGCACTGGCTCTGCAGGTAGTCCAAGGCCATGGCCAGCTCACAGATGAAGAGCTTCACAGTATCTTCCTGGAAACGGACATTCTGCTGCAGGTGATAACGCAGGTCCCCGCCCAGCAGGAGGTCGACTACCATGAACATATCCTCCTCATCTTGGAAGGAGTACCTGGAATAGAATTAGAAATGAAAGTGTATTAAATACATTTGCACACTATAGCATCCCAGAGGCAAATAACACCTCATAGATCAGAACAGAGTGTTCTTTAGCGAAGAGTTCAAGCTTTGGTTGCAGATGGTCTATCTTTGCTCTATGATCCTAGACCTTCAGTTTCCACATGTGTGAAGGGGAATAATAAGAATACCTACCACATTTGGTCATAGTAAAGAACAAATAGAACATTTAATGTCTTGCCTGACATATAGTAAGCACTCAGTAACTATTAGCTTACAAAGCTATAAAGCTCAGGAACTAAAGAAAATCCACTCGTCCACTTACCATTAACAATCATATCCTAACCACACTATTGCAGGAGGTCCATAAAACATGAATTAGGAGGTGTCCTTGAACCATTCTCATTCCCATTTTTCCACATGATCAACTTCATTGCCCAGCAACCTTATAACAAATCATGTACCACATTAATGATAAGAAAAAGATATAAAAGGGCAATAAAAAAAATGCATAGTACAAGGAAGTAATTCACTTTGAGATGGGGAAGTAAGGGAAAGCTTCTCAGCAGAAGTGAGACCTGAGTTCCATTTTGAAGGATGGTGACAGTAATAAGCACAAAATACAGCCATGTCACTTATGTCTCCATTGAGCCTCTTCTCTGGGGCAGGTGCTGAAGCCCTCTACGAATGGCACCCCATGGGCCACCAAATGCTGCTCTTAAGCTCCCACTTTAGAAATGAGGAAATCAAGGCCAGGTGAAGTAATATGCACAAAGTCAAACACCTAATACATGATAGAGCTGAAGAGTTCTCCAGGTCCAAAAGTAAGATTTGATAGACAAAAATAGCCTGCACTAAGCACAGACATGGGAAAGAACATAGTGTGAGTGGAGAAAGGAAAATAGTTTGGGTTTGCTCTAAAAACAACAACAGGTATGAAGGGGAAGCTTGAGCCTAGAGACGAGCACAGGGCAGATCCCATGACAGGTGCCTTTTCACAAGTCTGTAGGCATTGGGGTGACATTGAAGAGTTTTAAGCAGGACGTACCATCAGGCATGGACTTCACACTTGAGGGAGCATGGGTTGGAGAGATGGGAAGAGTAAATGAGACACGGGAGAGCAGAACTGGCCTCTGCTGTTTGCAGAGAGCCTCTTGTAAAAAAAATGCATTCCTGCTGCTATGATTTATTTTGTTCCTTCAAAGCAAAGACATGATTTCTAGGCACAATAATGCTCTCTGAACCAGCACTGTTTTGACATGTTTCTTTTGACATAATGTCACTGAGATCACATTTTAAACTTTTATTTGAATCAAAGAATTAAGTGTCTTCGAGCAGTGCCCAGGGATGCAAACTAATTCCTGGTGACAAATTCTTTGCTCAGGAAAGAAATGTAGACTATCAATAACTGAAGAACCGTACTTAGTATTTTTTCTTCTCTATACCAATCATTGCGCTAAAGGAAAAGGTGGGGATTTGCAAGGAAAAGAAACAAGAGAAATTCAATGAATCATTAATCTGAGGCAGTAACATTCTAACGAAGACTAACAGTCCCTGATATTTACTTGTCCAATGAATAAAATTTTGTTTATCACTGAAGACTGATTCACATAGAAGATGACAGAAATGAAGCCCTTGGGGGAGTTAGACAGAAACACAGGAGGTGCTTTTTTAAAAATCTGACAGTGAATACATTTTTGGTGTTATCTTCTGGAAATGATATTCTTCACCTCAGTGTGATGACTGGCTGGTCATCTCTGCCATAGGTTTAACGGGCACCAGAAAAAGTTCCTGGACCCAGGCTGTTCGGTTCACAAATTTCCCTCTGCACTACTGTGCATTATATTTGTGGTGTTTTAAAGGTCTTTCAGTAAGCATTGATGTGCTAAAAAACATGTAATCATGCTTGGGACCTGTTGCACCTTCAGCTGCTTTCAGCTAATGAAACAAATGATCCCTTAGGGGATGTGAGTGAGGTCTGTTCGGATTGGTGGCAAATGGGGTAGCGGTGGTGATATGGGTGAGGCTTGGGTATCAAAAAAAGAAGAGATGTCAAGGCAAACAGCCTAGGCAGACCGAGCGAGCATACAGGGCAGCTGTTGACTGCGTTCAGCTCCCATGGGAAGTCAGAAACCTGGCGACATACCAGAGGACTCCTCTCCCATCTCCACTGAATTCTAAGGAGGGGCAATGGTATTATTAAATTCGCCCTGATGAACAACCATTTTTACTGAGACTTGAGTGAAGCTATTTTTATTCCAAGAACAGATAGATAAAGGTGTCAGTCATAGGCAAGTTAACAACAGGGTTCTGCCATGCAAGGGATTATTAATCAAAGAAAGAAGCAGCTCAGGCAAGAGACGACATGCTTCCCTTGTCCAGTATGAATATAAATTTATTGAATCATGGAGCCAGGTTTTGCTGTTAAGAATCATTTTTCTCCTTCAGCACATCAGATTTGAAGCCCTTTATAGATATCTTAAAAACTCTCAGGGAAAGGGAAGATAAGTATTTGATTATACAGAACCAAATCCAGTAAAATATGTGGGCATAATATAGTTTGGTGATAACTAGAACATGCAAGTTCATACCATAGTCTGATATTTATTGATAAAAGAGTAAGAGCTTCCTTATACCTTGTCCATTTATCACAGAGACTCACTGTTGCATTTCCATGACTTTTATTTCTTAGCTGACAGCTCCAAAAATACTAAGTCCGGTCCCAGTGCATATGAGATGCATTGCAGTGTGCTCAGTAGGATAAGAGATAATCAATAGAAGACTACCATGTACTCCACCCTGTTCCATCATGTTTGACCCAGACTATGGTTGTAGCTATTCATAGCTTTCTCTGGATAATCTTGGACCTCTCCAGTCCTTTCTACACACCCCAGTTATATTTTTACACTGTGAGCCTTGTATCATCCAGCCGCATAAAACCCTTTCACCTCTTTCCATTGTCTATAGGATCCTGTATGGCCTGTCTCTGTTTACTTTTTCAGACTTAACTTTAGATCTCTTCCATCCCTCATCTAGTAATTCATGCTCTCTCGCCTTAGAAGACTGTGATGTGGTGTGGCCCATGCCTACGTTCACCATGCTGTCCACTGCCCGGTTCTTTTCATCTTTCACCCTCAGCCCAAGTGACACTTCTCACAGAGACATTTCTAATACTCCATATTAAATCAGGTCACCTTGTTACATACAATGCCATATTCTTGTTCACAGAATTTAGCATAATTTGAAAATATTTTCTTGTGTGCTTTTGGCTTAACTGTTTTCATTCCCACTATGCTACCAGGATGCATGCCTGCTTTTACTCATCCTTGACTCCTGAGCACCTATATACTGCCTGAAATGTATCCTCTACAAATAGCTGTAGAAAAAAAAAAATAACAAATTAATAAATGAACTAAAGAAAGGAAAGAAAAAGGTTAAAACACAAGCTTTGGGTGTGTGTGATATACATACATTCCTTAGGTTCTATTCTTTTTTTTTTTTTTTAAAAGAACAACCAGATCTATTTTTTTAATTTAAATTCAATTAATTAACATATGATATATTATTGGTTTCAGAGGTAGAGGTCAGTGAGTCATCAGTCTTATCTAACACCCAGTGCTCATCACATCATGTGCCCTCCCTAATGCCCATCACCCAGTTACCCCATCCCCCCACCTCCCTCCCCTCCAGCAACCCTCAGTTTGTTTCCTATATTTAAGAGTCTCTCATGGTTTGTCTCCCTCTCTGATTTTGTCTTCTTTTATTTTTTCCTCTTCCCCTACGATCCTGTTTTGTTTCTCAAATTTCACATAAAAGTGAGATCTTATGATAATTGTCTTTCTCTGATTGACTTATTTTGCTTAGCATAATACCCTCTAGTTCCATCCATGTCATTGCAAATGGCAAGATTTCATTTTTGATGGCTGCATAGTATTCCTGTGTGTGTGTGTGTGTGTGTGTGTGTGTGTATATGTGATATATATATATATATATCACATCTTCTTTATCCATTCATCTGTTGATGGACATCTGGACTCTTTCCATAGCTTGTCTATTGTGGACATTGCTGCTATAAACATTGGGGTGCACGTACCCCTTCGGATCACTACATTTGTATCTTTGGGGTAAATACCCAGTAGTGCAATTGCTAAGTCATATGGTAGCTCTATTTTTAACTTCTTGAGGAACCTCCATAGTATTTTCCAGAGTGGCTGCACCAGCTTACATTCCTACCAACAGTGTAAGAGGGTTCCCCTTTCTCCACATCCCTGCCAACATCTGTCATTTTGTGACTTGTTAATGTAAGCCATTCTGACTGGTGTGAGGTGGTATCTCATTGTGGTTTTGATTTGTATTTCCCTGATGCTGAGTGATGTGGAGCATTTTTTCATGTGTATGTTGGCCATTTGGATGTCTTCTTTGCAGAAATGTCTGTTCATGTCTTCTACCCATTTTTTGATTGGATTATTTGTTCTTTGGGTGTTGAGTTTGATAAGTTCTTTATAGATTTTGGATACTAGCCCTTTATCTGATAATACATTTGCAAATATCTTCTTCCATTATGCTGGTTGTCTTTTGGTTTTGTTGACTGTTTCCTTTGCTGTGCAAAAGCTTTTAATCTTGATGAAATCACAATAGTTCATTTTTGCCTTTGTTTCCCCGGCCTATGGAGTTGTGTCCAGCAAGAAGTTGCTGTGGCCAAGGTCACAGAGGTTGCTGCCTGTGTTCTCCTCTAGAATTTTGATGGATTCCTGTCTCACATTTAGGTCTTTCATACATTTTGAGTCTATTCTTATAAATTAGTATGATTACCAACTAAGTTCGAAGAAGTCACTCATGCTTGAAGCTGTCTCATGGAAGCCATCTTGAGATAAATCTGAATCTGAGCATTGGAAGAGATCTAAAATATTTCCAATGCAACATTTTTCAAGTTGTGGCTTATAACCTATTAATGGGTTATGAAATCAGTTTGGTTGGTTCTAACAAGCACTTTAT